AGTTTGACAAGAATCAATACATTGTTATGCATTTATTCTACTGATTTATGTATAAAATTTCTCAAGACAGCATGAAGTTAGTTAACTTTTAAATATTTTACAGGAGGAAAAATATCGAGATATATATCGTATATCGGAATTAACCAAAAAGATAGAGATACAGTGGTGTGAAAAACGATTTGCCCCCTTCCTGATTTCTTATTCTTTTGCATGTTTGTCACACAAAATGTTTCTGATCATCAAACACATTTGACCATTAGTCAATGAAAACACAAGTAAACACAAAATGCAGTTTTGAAATGATAGTTTTTATTATTTAGAGAGAGAACAAAATCCAAACAAACAGTTACATTTCAGAGAGCAATTCTTTTGCGGGGACATAAAGAAAATTTAACTTCAACCTGCTCTTCATCTGAAACGTTAAATAGATTTATTGATGTCTAGAGAAAATATCCAGTCTGCCTAATAAGTGTTAAAATGGCCCCCTATGCGCTTTTAAAAAATTTAGGATTTCTCAAACTTAATTCCTAAAGCAGTTGCTAACATGTCTTTAAAGCCCCAGTGTGTGATATTTTTACCTGTTTACTATCAAATCCTGTGTTTCCGGTTCACAAACATGTCCTTTTTCACTAATATTTCCCACCAACATCAATTTTAAATATTCCTCTCAACTTGAAATGATACATTTTTAAATACATAAACTGTGGTCGAGGCTCCATGGTCATCCACCATCTTAAAATACAGTAGCTGTTGAGGGACATACGAGCTCCAGGTTACCCGTTTGGACTGTGACTGTAACCTGACAGAACCAGCAGAGGGCAGCAGTGCGTCCTGGAAGCATGGAGTCTGCTTATTCAACTAAGAAATAGAAAAGAATAGCTACACCGTTGCTGTTCTTGTTAATTTGATTCTTGTTAATTTGAATAAAAAACAATTAAATCAAAAGACACATAAAATGTGTCAGTTCGTCATCATGTCCAACACAAGGAAGCCGCATATGTTCAGACCCTGCCCGCTATTAGCTGGATGCCAGCCTCCGATTCGTGTCTCTGACTCCCAAACTCACCTCAAGTTGTTCACCCGTCTTTTCCTAGTACCAGAACTCCCGATCCGGTCCCAAAGTGTCTGTTCCAAAGTCCTTCTACTCAATTCTCCTCTCTTCCTGCAGCCTGCCGTCTGGCCCAACACGCTCCAGCGTTAGCCAGTGGCTAAATCAGCTATGTTTACTATATCTCCACAACACTTTACTAACAACGATGTAGTTCTCCACGCATTACTGAGATGCTCTGACACAGAGGGCTTCTTCTCAAACGTTACCTTTAGACTTGGGTCTCCTTTTGTTGGTAATCTGTGGGAGTTTATACACAGCATACACAGCGTGTCCCCCGGCTTTAGGCATGGCTAACTAGGAGCTTGTGACGTCCATCTCCACCACGCCAGCCGTGAGCCACGATTAGCTGGTGGATAAGTCAAATCAAATCAAATCAACTTTATTTATAAAGCGCTTTCACATGGCTAAAATGGACAAACAAAGCGCTGTACACCAGTAAAAAGCACCACAATAGGACAGACATATAACCATCTAAAATACAATGAGCAATACATTAGAAATACAATAAGAAATCCATGTAAAATACAATAAGAAATCCGTTTAAAATACAATAAGAAATCCATTTAAAATACAATACGAAATCCTGAGTGCTAATTCGCAATCCATATCCGGCCTACTTCCCCCAACTTCAATGTCCAAACGCCAGCGAGAACAGATGTGTTTTTAGTCTGCTTTTAAAGGTTTCCAATGATTTGGCCTGCTTTACATCAGCTGGCATTCCAGAGACTTGGTCCAAGTACTGAAAAGGCACGACTCCCACGAGACTTCAGGCTGTACCTGGGCACAGTTAGTAGTCTGTGGTCAGCTGACCCAAGGGAACGCACCGGGTCATGTTGGTGGATGATTTCAGCAAGATATTTAGGTGCCCCTGAGTTTAACGCCTTAAACACAAACAGGATGACCTTAAACCTGATGCGATAAGAAACAGGGAGCCAATGCAAGGCACGTAGGACTGGTGTAATATGTTCAGACCTCCTGGTAGATGTTAACAACCGAGCAACCGAGTTCTGAACCGCCTGGAGGCGTGCTATTGGAGCTTGCCTAAGCCCCGCGTATAGCAAGTTGCAATAATCCAGCCTGCAGGTAACAAAGGCATGGATTACAGTTTCCAAATGACTATGTGACAGAAAAGGCTTAATTTTCGCTATGCGGCGTTGATGAAAAAAGCAAGATCTTATGATTCCGTTCGCTTGAGCACCAAATCTGAGCTCTGCGTCCAGTTTTACCCCTAAGTTAGTGACCACCGCCTTCTGATGCGGTGCCAGAGTGGAAAAATCAGCATTGTTTACTTGATCTCCAGCGTGTCCCCGGCTCACCAACACTCCTGAACCAGCCGTGGCTAACGATCAGCCAGTGATCGCTCCACATCCATATAAGCTGGTAGTGGCAGCATGTTTGTTTACATCAAGGCGCCGTGGTCCACGTGAAATGGATGTTGTGGGAAATTATGTTCCCCTGAAATATTCTGTTTCCCTTAGGCAGTCAAGAGCAAATATTTCCAAATCCACAGAACTTGTTGTCCATTATGAGGACTGAACTACCTCAAATAAAAGATGTTAAACTGAGTGAGATTTCATCTTTTAGATAATATTCAAAAATGATAAATAAGCTTGCTTGCAAAAAAGTGAACAAGAATGTTTTACTGTATCTTTTTATTGTTTTTAGGAGGAATTACAGATCAAAAATCACAAGCATAACATTATTACATCACATTACATCATTTTACCGTAATATAGAGAAAATAGCCTGAAGTCCAATCTCGGGGGGGGGGGGCAGAATATTTCAGGGGAACACAATTTCTCACAACACCTAACCTCCCGGCTGACGTCACCCCTCCTCCGTGTGTGAATTGTGACGGCTTCAATAACAGAACTAGCTTGTTTCCTTCAGAACTGGTAGGTTGATAAACAGTCATAATTATAAATGCTTTTTTAAAAAGGTCGAGTAACTTGTTTTATGCTTTGTGTAGGTTAGGCTACACAGGTTGGAAATCCATTATACAGTCAAACTCATGAGTGAGCCACCGTAGCTGCAATACTTTATCTGAACTGCAAGGCGCTAATGAGTCGCATTTTTTTTTATCATGATTTCAATGGATTTCACACACGGGGCCATAAAAGTAATATATATAGTAGTAACAAAATAGCTGTTGATGCCTTTAATTTCAATGATGACTAGGAAGAATAATACTTAGACTAGGATCAATGATATTGTTGCTATGGGAAGATAGAAATGAGGCTATAAAAGGTGTGTGATTATTGATTAAATCTTAAAAGTGCCTGACATAGAGTTATGGGTGTACAGGTTGGTGCTTTGTTCATTAGCTGCTAGGCTACTTCCACATGTTTAAACAACTTAGCTCTGTTTCCTTTTACTGTAACTAAATGCAGCAACAGCTTAGAATTTTTTCCCCTGTGTTCACACCTAGCTTGTAGCTAAAATTAATATCAGATTCTGCCAACAAAACAGCTCTACAACAATTTATATGTAAATGTTTTGAATATTTATTGCAAAATCTCATTTTTCTGCTGCAACAACAGTATATAAATAAGAAATGATTATACCTTGTGTTTTACTACAGCGTTGTTAAAGCTGCAGGTTATTGAGGATGCTTGTTTCAGCTGTGAGATTAGTCGATGGGATCAATGAAAAACAATGTTTGTCACAGACTCCAAGGAAACTTTCAGAGAATCCACAAAAAGTGGCTTTCAAATGGTTTTGTTACTGGCAGATTTTTGCAAGTTTAGAAAAGAAGCAGATGAGACGGCGTGTCCGACAATTTTGTTTTTCATCTGATAATATTAGAACATGTCAGTAATGTCAGAGGGACTTTTACAAACACTGTATAACTAACACTCCTGGAGAGGGTATGAATTACACAGAGGCTTCTGGGGAGCCCAGTTATGGGGGTGGGGTGGGGGGGGGGGTGTTCTGTTTGGCCTTGGCCCCCAAAATGCCTTGAAACGGCCCTGGGTGTGTGACTTGAGTGTTGAAGGTGATCTGAATTGTATCAAATGTACAAATATTACATGTGTATAACTTATTGTTTTATACTGGTAAAAACATGTAGTGGAGATAAATCTACCTGCATTTTACTTTTCAACACTTTGTTTTGTTTTCTTGTTTTTTTTAACTATTTTCCTGTCCTGTCTGTCTCTCATCTTCCTGCATCTCCTCTATAAACTCTCCAGAAAAACTGCTGCCTGGATTCTTACTTTTTCACCTCATCAGTTACTTTTGCGTAGATCAAAGGGATCCCCTGACCGCAAAGCGGAGAGCGCGTTTCGATGCTGCGTCAGTGAGGTTAAATCACTGCAGCACAGGTGATGAGCTCCGCAGTAGCAGAGCGCATCAGGCACGATTAAAAGACAAAGTACTAGATACAAACAGACATGAATGATCGTGTGTTAATTATACTGTTTTGGTTGCGCCACTTTGAGAATGGACGGTGTACTGGACGCAGCTGAAGTTCACCAAGATCAGAGCTCTGCCTCTCTCAGTGCTCTCTGCTTAAAAGAACCTCCGGTATGCTGAGAGTCCATAAATGATATAATATATGTGGAAACATTTTTCCGGCTCTCCCTGACTAGGCTGAAGTTGGCTTTTGATTCCAGCTTCCAGCTTTCCCATAATTCGATAGATCACCTGGATGGAAAACTGGACATTTCAATACATCAGAGCTACCTCTGTGAAATTTGCTGGGGAAAAACTCGCATCAAAATCGGTTCAGAAATCAAGGAGTTATTGTTGATTTAACATGCTGAAACTTCAATGCCTCTGTCAAAGACCTTGACCGGTCCAAGATGGCGGCGCCACTGCTCGTCAGTGTATTCATGCGTGACTGAAGCCGGAAATTACTGGAGGGGCGTCGAATAGTTTCTACGGAAACCCGCTAGGATAAAAAACTAAGTAAACCCTACGAGATAATCGAGCTACATTATTCAGAGGAAAACGACACGGGAATCTCCTTAGGTCGGGATAAATGTTTTTAACAGATCAGCGTTTAGTTTCGGTGTGGTGGAGTCTCGGGAGACCGTTAGAGGAGCGGCGAAGCTCCGAGTGGATCTTTAAGGAGGCGCTCCGATGCTACGTAGGCATCAGGAGGAAGAAAAGGGTTTTAGTACGCGGCCGTTTGACCAGGGCACTGTAACTCCGCCGAGTCGTTTTTAAGGTTTGCAGCTTAGCACTATATTTATTTTCCTGTATATCTTAAATTTTGAGCATTGGTTAGTGTTAGTGTGATGGCAGGTCGGAGTCGCAGAGCGTGGTTCAGTGTTCTCCTGGGGCTGGTTGTCGGCTTCACGCTGGCTTCCAGGCTCATCCTGCCCAGAGCCAACGAGCTAAAGAGAGCCGGGCAGAAGCGGAAAGCCAACCCCGCAGCCTGCGGGATCAACAGGGGTCTGAAAAAGGACGGAGTAATATGGGCCCCCCAAGTCAACGATTCACCGACGACCGAGAACCCAGGGACAAGATCTTTGAACTTCCTGTTCGTCGGAGTCATGACGGCCCAGAAGTACCTGAAGAACCGAGCAGTGGCGGCACACAGGTACGTGATCAGGTTAGCTTCGTATTCTCGAGTGTGCCCAGGGGAGACGAGCAGTCAAGCTAGCAGACTCGAATTTCACGTGCTGAACTACACGCGACATTACGGTGCCGTGGTTCGAGAGAGACTTTCAAAATAAAAGCGCACTTTCAGTGTCTGAAACAAGCTCATGAACATCTTTAAAGTTTGTGTTTATGTTTTATTCACTTTTAGAAGAAATTTGTGCATATAAAAATTGTATTATTGAAAGATACTTAAAATTAAAACATCAATAGAATTGTCATCCACTAATACAAAAAAAAGTCAGGTGAACTATATGAGCTGTTCAAGCTTTTATTTAAAATTCACATTTAACACCGTTCTACCCCAGTCTAAAAGTAAAACATTCTGTATCACATCCTCCACATCCAGTTCTGATGTGGCATTTCAAAATAAAGTGCAGTCAAAGTTGACAAAAATGTTAGTTTTCACTATATTCAGTGGTTCATTTCTCACACCATTCCACCTCATTCTGAAAGTAAACCTTTATATTGCATTCCAAAATAAGATTGTTGTGTTGTTCAATAGTACAATATTTATAAGCATGTTACAAGTAAATAACACACAACCACAAACTTTGAAAGACGTTAATCAGCTTGTTTCAGACATACTGGAAGTGTGCTTTCATTTTGAAAGTCTCTCTCAATCAACTGCACCATAATACCACGTTTAAATGCGCACATGAAATTTGAGTGTTGGCTAGCTTTACTTTTTTTTTTCTGTGTCAGCTCACTTGACCTCAGTCAGAGGAAGCCAACAGTTTCACACCAGGGCCCTTGTTTATCATCCGTACTTTCAAACAGATCTGTGCGTATTTCGTACCTATGACCAGTTTTACTCATTGTGTGGTATTTACTTGTGCGTAGAAATGTTCCTAATATAAGATCAGCTCTAACCATGCATACACCAGCATCTATACATGATGATATGATACAAAGCTTACGGTGAGTGTGCTATCTCGCATGCTGCCCCAAAGCTGTGGGATGCTTTCCCTCTGCGTGTTAAGCCTGGTTCACGCTGCGATTCTTGTCCGTCGCACAGGATTGTTCATGTCACAGTGAGAATTCCAGAAAGATGTCACACTGTACGACACAAGATTTCAGTGAGGCAGACTGCACGACGTCTCTCCCTCCAGCAGGACACGCTGTCATGAGTGCACCTCCCGAAGCACATGTCACTAAGCAGACCGCTAACCAAAACAACGCTGAAAAGATAAAAACAGTTTTAGTGTCAGTTCACTAAACTCATCTTCCTCAAAAAGGGCATTCATCCTTCTCATCCTCCTTCATACATAAAAACCCACTAAACTACTGAGAAGTTACAATCTTTCACAGATCGCCGAAATATCTAAACTTTTGCCGTGAATTCTGTCTCACTGCTCCACAGCTGCGCTCCATATGACAGCTCACACCTGCTGTCACAGAGCGCGACTTTGTCCCTCTACAGCAAAACGCCGCTGAACCATACTGTAACTTTTATTTATCCAGATGAGTCGATTAATAACTTCTTCTCATTTAAAACGAAGATCAGGCCAAGAGGCAGCAGCAACAGACACACAGTTAGCTTTACATCAAAGAACAACAGATAAGATTAAAAAAATACAAAAATAGGATAAAACAGTTAGAAATGAAGACAAAGGAATGTTCTCATATTTAATAGGTACAAGCAATCAAAACAGACTTAAAACAGTCTTTTAAGTTTTCAGAAACACATTGATCACAAAATACTGACTGCACTCAATAATTGAAGGTAGATAATAGAATGTAGGTAGTGAGCTTCAGTGGTTTTTGCAGCTCATTCCAGTCGTTGGAAGCAGCAAACTGGAATGAGGAGTGGGAAGCTCGCACCTTCAAAGAGGGTCTCTTGTCTGCAGTGAAGTTAGCTAATCTGCAGTTAGCAGATAAAAAGTGAACTTGTGACTCCATGTGCACAAAGCATATCATGTAGGGCTGTCGCGGTTGAGGAATTCCCCCTGCGGTGATTCAGGGTGGCTTAATATTGCAGTGTGCGATATTATTGCAGCACTTTTTTTTATTGCAGTACTATCTAAACATAATGTTTACACATTTAAAAAAGGTGAAAAATTGCCGTGCCTTCTTTTATAACACTTTACTGAATGCAGATCAAAGGGCAGTAACAACACAGATCGCAGTAACGTTTGTTTCCCCGACAGTCGGAGTCCGACTGAACTTAAAAACAACAAAATTCAGGAGAAGGTTAAACTTTTAAATGCAAATTTGGCTGCAGCATCTAACAAATAAGAAACAAGTCCCCATTTTGTTTAGTTGTTTAAAATCAAGCATAAAAAATTACATGTACCGGGAGCGGGGCACTATCATTTCACTTTCACACACACGAATGACGGTGCTTTATAGCTCGGTCACGTCCTTACCCACAAGGAAAACCAGCATGTTAACCATATACGGTTTGAGAGAGGATCTGAGAGGGGTGGCAACATTTCCAGCAACACTGAAAACCCTCTCGGATGGTGCGCTCGTTGCACTAACGCACACGTACTTGCGTGTGACTGGCGAGCAAAGGGAATCTCTCCCGGTTGTTGCTCCACCATGTCCGGGGGGTTTCTTTAGGGTGGATGCATTCCTCCTGCAGGTAGCGAGTGAGCTCCAGCTCGGCTCAAACTCTCTTCGGGACGGTTGCAGAAGCAGTGCTTGTCCGGGACTTCAACAGGTCTCCGAGCATTTATTTATTTATTTATTTTGCCGCTGGTGGCAGCTCTGTCTCGGCCAAGGACTCTGGCAGCGCAGCAGCTGACGTACTGAAAACCGAAGTGCTCCCAAAGGAGCAAAGTAACGTTTCGTTTTGATACCAGCGTAGCCATCCTTCTCAACATGCATCATTGAGTTGAATCAAGTTCAGTAATCGCGGTGGCCCATGATGCAGCGCGGTGGGTTTCTTCATATTGCGATATTTCATTTTTGCGGTTACCGTGACAGCCCTAATATCATGCACATGTGACCAGTTATTTTTACACTGAAATACTTGAATTTGTAGCAGGCATGTTTTTAATAAATGACTTTAAGAGTCAGAAGTATTCTTTGTCTCTGATGTCAGCTAGATGTAGTTTGGTCACTAAATATGAACTATTAGTTCACATTAAGCCTTTCTTATCCTCAGGTGTGTAATCTACTCCAGTTACTCAGGTGTGTAATCTACTCCAGTTACTCGGGTGTGTAATCTACTCCAGTTACTCCGGCGTGTAATCTACTCCAGTTACTCAGGTGTTTAATCTACTCCAGTTACTCAGGCATTTAATCTACTCCAGTTACTCAGGTGTTTAATCTACCCCAGTTACTCAGGTGTTTAATCTACTCCAGTTACTCAGGTGTTTAATCTACTCCAGTTACTCAGGTGTTTAATCTACTCCAGTTACTCAGGTGTATAATTTACTCCAGTTACTCAGGCGTGTAATCTACTTCAGTTACTCAGGCGTGTAATCTACTTCAGTTACTCGGGTGTGTAATCTACTCTAGTTACTCGGGTGTGTAATCTACTCTAGTTACTCGGGTGTGTAATCTACTCTAGTTACTCGGGTGTGTAATCTACTCTAGTTACTCGGGTGTGTAATCTACTCTAGTTACTCGGGTGTGTAATATACTCTGGTTACTCGGGTGTGAAATCTACTCTTGTTACTCGGGTGTGTAATGTACTCCAGTTACTCGGGTGTGTAATGTACTCCAGTTACTCAGGTGTGTAATCTACTCCAGTTTAGGGTTGTCACGGTATGAAAATTTAACCTCACGGTTATTGTGACCAAAATTATCACGGTTTTCGGTATTATCGCGGTATTTTTTAAACGGTGTTGCATATGTTCAGAAAGCATTGATAGTCCTGTTCTACACAAACTGAAATAGTTTTGAAAATGTTTAACAGTGTTTATTAAACCTAAAATAACACAAAGCCTTAGCAAAAGTGCAACTTTTCACAAGTAAAGGAACAAATAGCTTATTTTTCTGGAACATGTTACAGTAGTCAGTGCAGGTTTAAATTATACAAATCCAAACATTCAAAACATAAACAATATGTAAACAAATCAAAGAAACACCACTTGTTTTCTCATATACTTGTTTTCTTCATTATCAAAATGAAAATCTAAAACTCCAGTCCACACCTGACTTGAGCACTGTACAAGTCAACCTTAAAAAATATGTATTTAAAACAAATAGCCACTTTAAACAAATTACTAAAATAACTACTACACTATGTAATCAAATCCAAATGTTCAAGTATAAATGGCATTGAATAAGTAAAAAAATCAATGACAAGGAACTAATTGTATATTTCTCTTCATCATCAACAAATAAGATGCTTCATCCAGCAACAGCGTGTCCGTGACACGGTTTAAATGCTGGCAGAGGATGCTGCGGCTGCAGTATATAGTGACTTGTTGCATTCTCCCTCAGCCAAAAGTCCTCGCGTCATGCATTTAAGCTAAAATGCTAATGTTAACTTACCTTGCACTGGCTGTAGAGACGTGGGCGATGGTCACGCAGATGTGCCATTAGATTCGAAGTGTTGCTGCCTTTTGCAGACACCTGCTTCTGCACGTTCTGCAAACGGGATAGCCGTCTTCTATTAACTGTCCCTCAGCATTTTTCAGAAATCCAAAATATGCCCATACTTCTGATTTAGTCTTCTTTGAGGGCTGATGGATGTCCTGGGCGCTGCCGTCTCCTCCTTCGGCCATTATTTCAGCTTCAAAGTTTTGGTGCCGTCGCAAACTAAAAAGTGCGTGTGCGCGCCGCGGGAACTTCAGCTGAAGCGACGGTGGCTGGTAAGGGTCACCGCGCTGAAACCGCGGCCACGGTAAACCCACCGAGATAATTTAGTTTTTTAAAAACTGGACGGTTATTTTTATTGTCAACTTTTTACCGGGGTTTACCGCTATACCGGTTACCGTGACAACCCTAAACCAAATATTGTTAAATTTCTTTAAAAAAGATTGC